GTCAGCTCAGTCTGGCGCCGTCTTGGCGCGGGGGCAGCGCGAGCGCGGGACGTCTTGGCTGGAGGTCACTGGCAGCCTCCCAGGATCAGCGACAATGGGCGGCGTTTAAGATTGCGCGACTCACGCGGTAGAGGGCAGAGCCCGCGCGGTCAGGACAGCAGCTTGCCGCAAGGGGGAGGAGGAGGAGGAGGAGGAAGGAGAACAATGATTACAAAACGAATATTCATAACAAGAAAAACTAACAGCGATAACCGTGTGCGGACGATAATAAAATAAAGCTTACCCGCCCCTTACGGGTCTCTATTGTTGTTATCACCGTTCAACAGGAGTTAATTGTGGAGAAGGGCGCGGAGGCCTAACTTTCTAATCCACGGGGGAAGTTGCGAATCGAAGTTGCTATCACCTCATGTTGACTAGCCACGAGCGTCGAGATCTCTCGAGTCAGTCTTGTTCCGAGCGCCTGCTGGCAAGTTGTATAGCCACGAGCATCGAGATCTCTGGAGTCAATCTTGTGCCGAGCGCCCAGGATCACCATTATCATGATCATCGCCATCATTATCATAACTTCACCTTCCCTGGGAAAATCCTTGACCATCCCCGCCAGACCCCCGAACTTTATTATCCCCCGGGATGATTGTCGCTCGCGGTCGGTTAATGAGAGAACCATAAGAATAAGAAGACAAACAAGAAGACTAAGAAGAGGATGGGGAGGAGGAGGAGGAGGAGGAGGATCAGGAGGATCAGGAGGATCAGGAGCATCAGGAGGATCAGGATGATCAGGAGGAGGAGGAAGAGGAGGAGGAGGAGGAGGAGAGAAGGGAGAGACGTGGCCCGCGCCAGCCTGAGGCTGCGCTGGCCGGAGGGGCCGCCGTTGAATATGGAGCGGTTAACGTGGTGAAGACCAGAGCCCACACGGTCAGGACAGCAGCTTGTCACACATGGGGTCTTGTAAGAATCCGGATTTCGGGCAGATTGAGTGGTTTCAATCCCGGCGTGTTCCCCCATCTTCGGCCTCTTGGAGTTGTTTTCGATTCCCGAGGCCATCAAGATTATCTTGGCGAAGTGCCCAACTACGATCCCGGCGTGTTCCCCCATCTTCGGCCTCCTGGAGATGTCGGGGGCGGAAAAGAGGGGGGTGATGACTAGGGGGGGGTGGATATCATGGCGGGGAGCATGATATTTCCCCAGATTTTATGGCGCCTCTTCTTATTTCATTACGTCCCTGGCCCCCCCGCTGGGCCGCGCACATGCCGCCGGTCATGATTTGCACCCCCCCCTCTTGGACACCCCCCTCTTGGCCGCTCCCGAAGATGTTGTCGATTCTCGAGGCCATCAAGATTATTTTGGCGAAGTACCCAACTATGCAGTTGTGAGTACCGCCGTTGTGAGAATCGCCTGCAGTGGAGCTCCCTACGAGTCTACGAAACTCGTATAGAGGAGCGCCGACATGGGACTGGGTCGCCATACGGGCGCTGCCGCTGGGGTCGCCCGCAGAGGGCGCGGAGGTCTGACAAAACGGATCAGATGCTGATGTAACCCATTGCGGCTGACAGGCAACAGGAGACGTAGGAGAAGACATACGGGCGCAGCCATTGGGGTCTTAGGTGGAGCTCCGTATGGGGCCACGAAGCGTGTGAGGGGTGTGCCCAAGTGAGTGGGAGTGGCGGCATGTGAACGCAGCCACTGGGGCCTTCGGTAGAGCTCCCTCTGAGGCCGCGAAGCGTGTGAGGGGTGTGCCGAAGCAGACACGTGAAAGAGGAACGGATTTTACGGCGATGATGATGACGATGATGATGGTGAGGGCATGCGGAGGGCAGAGGCAAGGTTGGGAAGTGGGAGAAGCGGGAGGGGAAGGTTGAGGAGGAAACGCGGAGCGCTATCTCTTCAAAACGTGGACCTAACTCAACGCAGGATGGTTGGGAAGTACAGCCGGAGCGAGAAGGGCTGCCCTTTGGGAGGGGACTGGGAGCCTTGTGGTGGCGCGCCAGCTTCAGGAGGGGAAAAACACATACAGACATTATGAATCGTCGACTCCCCAGAAAATATGTGGAAATATATATGGGAAGTGGGCAGGGGACGACGCAAATCCAGAAAATATGGGATGGGAATACAGTCGGGGCCCTGAAGAAGGAACCCTTTCCGTTGGGGAGGGGCTTCGCGTTCCTTAAGTGTTTCGCAGCTTGCCTCAGGTTTTCCTAATTTGTTCGATCGGAAATCGAAGTGTAACTTATGGAAAAAACGGGCCTTGTTCCTTATTCTGGGTTCCTTAGGTCAAGGCCCCGGCTGTATATGGCGAATCCTCTTATTTGTGCGTATTTATTCGTGTGTCCCTGGGCCCCCTTACAGCTGGAGGGGCCGCCGGCCTCGGCGTGCGCGGCTCGGGGCGCAGGCGGTCCTGGCGGGCACTTCCCCGTCGGCCATGCCAGGCCGCGGCCAGCGACGATGCAGGGGAGGGGGAGGAGAAGGAGGAGGAAGGGGACGGGGAGGAGGGGGAGGAGGAGGAGGACGAGGAGGAGGAGGAGGAGGAGGAGAGGAGGAAGGGGACGAGGGGGAGGGGGAGGAGGGGGAGGAGGAGGAGGAGAACAACGAGGAGGACGACGAGGAGGGAGGAGGAGGAGGAGGAGGAGGAAGGGGAGAGGGGGAGGGGGAGGAGGAGGGGAGGAGAGGAGGAAACAACGAGGAGGACGACGAGGAGGAGGAGGAGGAGGAGGAGGAGGAGGAGGACGAGGACGGGAGGAGGAGGAGGAGGAGGAGGAGGAGGAGGGGGGGGCGGGGGCGCCGGCCTGGAACCGCTCAGGCAGGGCAGGCCCAGGGCAAAGCTCTGTCGCTCCGAGAGGACGTTCAGGAGGGAAACAAACGCACAGACACAATTAATCGTCGATTCCCCTGAAAATATTGGAATTGGAAAATATGGGAAGTGGGGGGGAAGACAAAAACCCAGAACATATAGGAAAATATGGGGAATCCTGTTTTGTTGGGCGTATTTATTCGTGTGTCCCGGGGCCCCTTCACTATCGCTCCGAGAGGGCGTGGCGTTCGCGATTGGAGGGGGGGGGGGGCAGCTGCGCAAACGCAGACTCCCCGAGGCCTGCGAGGGCTTCGTCGGTCGGCGTTGGGCCCCCCGTGGGTGGTGCCTCCAGCGCCAGGCCCGGCGCGCGTCGTGCGGCAGGGCAGCGGGGCCCGTCGCCGACCCAGGAGGTCTGCGCGGCCCAGGAAGTCGCCAGATCTGGCCATGGTTTTGCTGCTGTTCCTCGGCAGTCCATGGATCGATCCTCCTCCTCTTCCTCCTCCTCCTCCTCCTCCTCCTCCTCCTCCTCCTCCTCCTCCTCCTCCTCCTCCTCCTCCTCCTCCCCCCCCTCCTCCTCCTCCTCCGGGCGCGTTGCCTGCGCGGGGTGCCGAGACCAGGGGCGCCCACTCACGGGCGGGAGCACGCGGGTTTAAAACTCTTGCTCCTCCTCTTCCTCCTCTTCCTCCTCCTCCTCCTCCTCCGACCACTCGATCTCCCTGGCCCGCTGGCTCTCTCGTGGAGCACGAGCTGTGTCCGCCCGATGTCGTCTGCGCGCTGGTTTCGTATGAAGTCGAGGCCCCCGAACGACACATGCATGGCTTGGGCCTCCGGCTGACGACAAATGCATGTTTTGTGCCTCCAGCCCCCCGCTATCCTCCCCATGCCCTTCAAATCTTGGCGCGGCCCCGATAGCAACACTACGCGGTGGCTCTCCCCTCCCGTCTCTCTGTCCTCCTTTTTCCTACCCCCCCTCCAATCCATCCTACACTACTACACAATAAGAGCACAGGGATTGCATCCCTTCCGATATGGGCAGCGATCATCGTCATCATCATCCTCATCACCATCATCATCATCATCATCATCATCATCATCGTCATCATTATCATCATTAGCATCATCATAATCATCATCGTGTTCCTCCTCTTCCTCCTCATCATCATCATCAGCATCATCGTCCTCATCACCAGTACTGTCTTCACCACCATCCTCAGCATCACCATCATCATCATCGTCATCATCGTCATCGTCGTCATAATCGTGATTGGCATAGGCATCATCATCAGCAGTATCATCAGCATCATTATCATCACCAGCAACAGCAGCATCGTATAACCACGACCGGCAGGTGTGCCGCTTTGGATGTAATGCATTGGGCGGATACCATGTCTTACATTATCTCGATAATCCGTCCCAGCTTGTTGGAGCAGCTCCCGTTCACGTTCATCCGTTATCTTGCATTATTTCGATTTTGCATTATGTCTTGTTGGCTCAGCTCCCCCGTCTCCTCCCTGGCCGTTCCGAAGATTATTGCGCGTGGTCGACCGAAGATAAGACTGTTGCTTTGCACTCGGCCTCCTCTGGGCGCCGCCTCTCTGAAATCAGCGGTGTTTGTGCATGACCTCGCAATTGCCACGTTCAACTTCCGAACCCACAAGAGATGGGGAAACGGAACTCTTCCAAAGCTCCTTGCCGCGAGGGCTCGTGCCATCGCAAAGAAAAGGAAAGAGGTCGGAGCTCTTTTAAGTCAACCCTGGTCACTGAGGAGCGAGTGGGTCATCAGCATCATCAGCATCATCATCATCATCACCATCATCATCATTAGCATCATCATCACCATCATCACCGCCATCATCTTCATCGTCGTCATCATCACCAGCATTGTCATAATCATGATCATCAGCACCATCATCCGCCTCATCGGCATCATCATCAACACTGTCATCACCAGCATCCTCATCATCACCATCATCATCACCATCATCATCACCATCACCATCGTCATCATCGTCAGCATTGGGTGTATTGAATCATTGTCATTCCATCCACAACCGTCATCACCATTATCGTCATAGTCATGCCCCCCCTCCTCACCCTCATCCTCCCCAGCCCTCCCCCCTCGACACCCCCGCTCCTCGCCCTTCCCCCCTCTCTTCCCGTCCGCCTCTCCACCGTCGCCCTCTGCCTGCTCGCCCCCCGCCTGCCGCCTTACAGCCCGCGCCGCGCCCTGCCCTCCCCCCCCCAGTCCCCCCCGCCCCCCCGCGGCGGCGGCGGCGCCGCGGCGCACGGCGCGCAGATGGGGGCCGCGAACTGCTCGAGCTGCGGCTGCGACAGCGAGCAGGAACGGCCTGCCCGCCTCGCTCGCTCCCGCTCCTCTCAGGAGGGAAAAATACACAGACACAATGAATCGTCGATTCCCCAGGGAAAGATGGGAAAATATGGGAAGTGGTGGGGGGGAAGACAAAAAAAAACAGAAAATATTGGAAAACATGGGGCATCTTCTAATTTCAGCGTATTTATTTGTGTGTCCCAGGGCCCCATTCATCCTCGTCGCCGTCGTTCCTGTCCCCCTGGCCGGCGGGCAGCGGGCGCTCGCTGCCCGAGAGAGCGCGCGGGGGCCCCGACGAGCGGCGCGCCCGGCCGCCGCTCGGCGCGGCGCACTCGTCGGGCGCTCCGCGGGCGCGATTCTTGGGATGTTTCTGGAGACTTCTTCGGGGCGTCTGGGAGGCTTCTGTCAGGAGGGAAAAAAACACACAGACACAATGAATCGTCGATTCCCAAGAAAATATTGGAAAATATGGGGATTGGGGGGGAAGACAGAAACCCAGAAAATGTGTGCCCCAGGGCCCCTTCATTCTGGAGGCTTCTTCGGGGCGTCTGGGAGGCTTCTTGAGAGGTCTTGGGGCGATCCTGGGCGTTCTGGAGCGATCGCGTGGCGCCTCGGAGCCCTCTGAGATTCTCTGGGCGACCTGCTCGGGGCATCCGGGCCCCTCCTGAGGCTTTCTGGGAGGCCCTGAAGGCGGCGCCCAGGAGCAAAACCATCTCTGAGGTGGACTCGCCGGCACCTTGCCTGGACCTTGCCGGGGTATTTTTCGGCCAGAGACCCCCATGGGCGGCCCCGCGCGCGCGAATGAGGAAAGTCTGAACCAGTCACCGGAGATTTCAAAACGCCTCTGGCCCGCTGGGGCGGCGAATATTTTCCTCGCCCCCCCAACACCAAAAAACAACAAAAAACAGAATACCAAAATAACAACAAACACGAGCATGGGGACCCCCCACACTCAGATCGGTTTTTTGGTGGGGCGGGCGGAGGACAACAAAAAGGGCCGTGCCTCTGCTTAGGAGGAGGAGAAACAGGAGGAGGAGGACGAGGAGAAGTACGAGGAGGGAGAGAAGGAGGAGGATTGTTGCCCCCCCCTCCAGAAGAATAACAGCAAGAACACAGAACTGGGAACCCCACCACATTTATGTAAATATAGATACATACATCTATTGTTTCTATATAGTATACACGGATAGGGGGAGGCGAACGACACAAAAAGACGCACCGTGTTTCTTCTTAGGAGGAGTAGGAGGAGGAACAGGAGCAGGAGCAGGAGCAGGAGCAGGAGGAGCAAGAGAAGGAGGAGGAGTTGGCGGAGGAGGGGAGGAGGAGGAAAGACGGAGAGAAGGAGAGAAGGAGGAAGAGGAGGAAAGGAGGACGCCACCGAGCAGGCAGAGTATCCGAAGACGCACGCGCGAACTCAGTGTGAAAGCCTCGCGCGCGCGCGCCCTCGACCCCGAGGTACTCCACAATCCCCTGTCCTCGAGGAAGAGGGGGAGAAGGTGGAGGAGGAGGGGGGGAACACGGAGGAGCAAAAGGGGGGGAGGCACGGAGGAGGGTGAGGAGGCGGCGAAGGAGGAGAAGGAAGGCAGACGAGAGATTCGGAGGGAGGAGACGGGGAAAGAGGTTTTGGTGGTGGTAGTGGTGGTGGTGTTGTTGGTGGTGGTGGTGGAGATGGTGGTGGTGGAGAAGGAAGAGAGGAGCACGGAGGGAGGGGAGGTGGAGGGGCAGACGAGGGACACGGAGGGACGGGAGGTGGAGGACGGGGACGTGAAGGACGAGGCGGGGGAGGAGAAGTAGGAGGAGGAGAAGGATGGGCACACGATGCGACAACGTATTTCGATATCCATCGTGGCTGAGATACTAATGATGCCTCCTCTTCCTCGTCCTCCTGCTGCTGCTCCTGCTCCTGCTCCTCCCTCCACCTCCTCCTCCACCTCCTCCACGTCCTTCTCCTTCCTCCTCCAGCAGATCCCCCCCCATCCGCATCATCTTCCTTTGCTGGATGCGTGCTTGGCCTGCTGTGCGAGTCGTAGCACAAGATGTTTCGACAGGGCAGTCTTGAGCCAAGAATTGGCGAAGCTTTATCCGTTCGTCTTTGCACACAACGGCGTTCTGCCCAAGGCCACCTTTGCTAGATGTTTGTGATGTGACATGGTTGCGTTATGTTTCGTCATTGGTATCAGCCCCGAGCGATGGCGATGGGGCCTCCCTACCGAGGAACGGCACAGGTTCGATTGACAAGGCATGGGTAGCGCAAGTCGCAGACACGATGCGGACACCTACATTTGACTGGTTGTTTCAAGGTGCGCATATGTTCACTCTAATGTCGCCTTGTTTGTGGTGCTGGCTACGCATGCTGCTGCTGCTCCTGCTTCACCATCTCCAGACCTCCGACGCCGTCATTTTCTGCACGGCGTGAGCCACGGAGTTCTTGACCGCATGTGGTGTTGATGGCCGTGTGGGGGGGGGGGGCGAACGCAAGCCCTGGAGGTCAACACTTAACATCAAACACGCTGGTGATGGTTTGCTTCGCGACGCGTGGAGGTCTGGTTCCACCGCGCCTCCCCTCCGAGGAGAAGCAGAACACAACCAACATCAAGCCGCACCACCAAAGCGCGCAAGGCTACGCAGGTGGACCTTCGAGCCCGCCGATGGGCGGACCGCGCGGAGCATCACTTAGCCACTTGGAGGAGGAGGAGTAGGAGGAGGAGGAGGAGGAGGAAGCGGAGGAGGAGGAGGAGGAGAAGGAGGAGGAGGATGAGGAGGAGGGGGAAGGGGAGGGCGAGGGAACTCTTCTTCTCCCCCACCACTTGTTCTACAGTCCAGACGCCGAAACAAGGAACAGTTCGGGGTCGGAAGAGGCTTCCTGTTCCTCAGGCCATCCCTTGGCTGTTCCTGCCGCGCTCCTCGTGTATCCCCCCTCGCTTTGGCCCCTCAAACAAGGGTTTCGTTCCTTACCTAGCGTGCGTTCCTTGCATTTGCATGTTCGCATTCGGCAGCCTGGGCGCCTTTCGCCCCCTTCTTCTCTTATCAGACCTCGGTAGCGCCAAGCGGCAAGTCCTTTTGCGACGCGCGGTGTCGTTGCGGCAATGAGTTAGCCTACCGCTGGGCGAGTCAACAGCCCGGGAACAGCTCGGGTGGAATCAGGCCGCCGGCGATGCCCCTTCCCGCCGCGCTACGAGCCAGCGCCGCACAGGAAAGAAACGAGGGCTGATTCGGGGGTCACTCTTGCGAAGCCGCGGCTATTTCAAGGGCACTCGGCAGTTACGCGTGAAGTCCGAGACCCGTCCGACGATCTTCCGCTTGTCTATGTTTGCAGATCTGGCGGAGCTTCCGTTGGTCAGAGGGTCTCCCCAGGCCTTGCTGAGTCCTGCGCGGGTTCGGGGCGCCAGGTGCCGGGGGCTCACGACCCCGAGTTCGCATCTCAGGAGGTCCGTCCACCCCTCGGTTTCAATCCTCAAGGCGCCCCCTGGTTTCAGAGGCCTGGGCAAGGGCGGCGCTGAGTTGGTGCGCGGGAAGCTGGTGGATTCCCTCTCTGGGTCCCCGACTGGGGACTGGGCTGGGGTGGGGTTGGGGCCCGCTGGCCCGGCCCGGAGCGGGCCCCGTGGCCGAGCTGTCCCAAGAGCTCGCCAGCTGTCACCAGCATGTGCTTGCAGTCCGTGTCCTGGGTGGGCCGCTGTCGAGGTTGTCGTCTGCGCGGCGCTGAGCCGGCCCGTTCGGCGGTTGAACGGGGACGGGAGTGCAAGACGGCGACGACAGAGGCCAAAGCCCAGATGTTTCGGCCCCCTGAAGAAGGCGATGCGCACCTCGTCGCCTGGGCCGCGCTGCGTCGAAGTGGGTTCACAGACACATCTCCCATTTCCAATTCTTCACGCTTCGCGTATCCCCACCAGCCCATCTCAAAACAGCAACTCTAGCGAAGCATGCCGACAGTCGTGTTTTTCAGGCGTGTTTCCGCCTGCCCCCGCATATCTCCCCTGTTCCTCCTTCCTCCCGCCTCCTTGTACATCCTCCTTGTGGTGGGAGCGGGAGAAGGACGAGGCGGAGGAGGAGGGAGAGAAAGCGCTCCTCGTGGTTTGAGTCGTTTGGGGTTTCTCGTCCTGGTGTGAGTCGTTCGGGCCCTTCTTCCTGGTGTGAGTCGTTCGGGCTCTTCGTGGTGTGAGTCGTTCGGGCTCTTCGTCCTGGTGTGAGTCGTTCGGGCTTCTCGTGGTGTGAGTTGTTCGGGCCCCTCGTCCTGGTGTGAGTCGTTCGGGCCCCTCCTCCTGCCCGTCCAGAAACGACGCCCAGGCGAGTAGAGGGTCGTCCTGATGGGCTTTTCGGCGTCTTGGGTGCCTCGGGGGGGCCTCTTTGGGCCGTTTGGGATCCTCTTGGGGGCCTCCTGGGGGCCTCTTGGGGCCATCTTGGGGCCTCTTGGTGCCTCCTGGGCGCTTCTTGGGGCCATCTTGGAGGAAATCGATCAAAGAAGAGGGGAGCTTTAATTAGCGCTGCCCCCTCAGAAGGCCAAAATGGGGCCAAAACCTTAGTAAAATCAATGATTTGGGCTTGAAAGAAGAAGGGAGCTTTAATTAGCGCTGCCCCCTCAGAAGGCCAAAATGGGGCCAAAACCTTAGTAAAATCAATGATTCTGGCTTCCAAGAAGAGGGGAGCATTTTTCTGCCTCCCCCCGTCGGGGCCAGAATCCTCGTGAGGGGTGTCGTTGTTTAGCCCTCCCAGGAGTCGAAAAAGACCCCTCCAACGACCTGCGGGACGCCCTCTCCAGGCCCAGGGGGAGGGGGTAGGGGGAGGGGTAAACCCCTCCCCGAAGGGGAAGAAGGGGGGTTGAGAACAGAGAGAGCTCTCTAAACCACTCACGCCCAAAGAGGGCTGGTGGGATTACCACATCCTCGGAGAGAGAGAGAGAGAGAGAGAGAGAGAAAGACAAAAAAAAAAAAGAGAAGGGTATATTGAGCGCACATTGCTGAAGATCACCAGGAACAAGTCCAAGACCTGGCCCAGGTTGCAGCGCTGGCGGAAGTTTTCCGAGGGGCATCTCACGCGCTCAATCTGGAAGCGGTGTGGCAGGAGGTCATTATGCTGCGCCCGGCGGTCAGCAAGGTGTAGCTTTCCCTTGGCATGAAGGAACACCTGCACCGAGTAGGAGCTGGAGTGGAAGGGGGGGCCGTGGTGCTGGACCAGGGGGATCCAGTACGAGGGAACGCAGATCAGGCGGTGGAAGCATATGACCAGGGCGCTGAGCCCCCGGGAGGCAGGCCTTGTGCATGTGAGAGGAGGCGCCGAGCCGTCTACATCGTCAGCGCGCCGTCGAGGTGGGCCGCGCCGCGGCCACCGCCCTGGAGGCGGCGGCGTACGTGGCGGCACGCGGACGTCAGGGGCAACGATAGGGGGGGATAGGCATGGGGGGGGTCGCATCGACCCCCCATCGCCCATTGATCGCCGATAGGGGCCTAACAGCCCCAGCCTGCCCAGGAAGGTGTGTATTCACTGTCGGAGGCCCATCGCCGATCTGTCGGCGCTGTGTCGCCGATTCCAGGTCGATGTTTCTCCCCCTGTGCCTATCCCCCCCTGTCGTTTCCCCCCCTGTCGTTGTCCCTCAGGACGGGGGGGGGGGCTCCGCGCCAGCACAACCAGAGGGGGGGGGTCCCCACAGGGCGCGAGGGCCCGGGGGTCCAGGCTGCGCGAGGGGTCCGCTCCAGCGCGCCTTCCAGGGCGCGAGGGCCCGGGGGTCCGAGGGAGCGCTGCGCTCCTGGCCCGCGCGGGGACGCTCGAGCCAGCGCTGAGCGTCGAGCGAGGAGGAGGAGGAGGAGGAGGAGGAGGAGGAGGAGGAGGAGGAGGAGGAGGAGGAGGAGGAGTGGTGGGGCCGGGGGAGGACACGACGAGACGGGGGAAAGGGAGGAAGGCGCGACGGGAAGAGGACGCAGAGGACGGGGGGAGGCACAGAGAAGGGCGGCAGCGGAGAGGCCTGACGGTGCCAGAGGAGAGGAGAGGAGAGGAGAGGAGAGGAGAGGAGAGGAGAGGAGAGGAGAGGAGGAGCGGTGAGCCGGGCCGAGGCTTTGACGAGGGCCTCAGCAAGAGCAACATGCCCGACCACCCCTCGGAGCCCCTTGCTTCGGTTTCAGTGAATGGTGTGAGGGAGGAGGCAAGGAAAACGAGGACGAGAAGACGAGGACGATTAGGAAGATTTAGGAGGACGAGGACGAGGAGAAGGGGTAGGAGGAGAAGGGGGAGGACGAGAAGGAGGAGGAGGAGGAAAACGAGGAGGAAAACGAGGACGACGACGAGGACGAGGACGAGGAGGATTGGGAGGAGGGAGAGGAGAAGGAGGAAGAACGGGGGGAGGAGGAGGAGGAGGAGGAGGAAGAGGAGGAAGAGGAGGAAGAGGAATAAGAGGGGGAGGAAGAGGAGGAGGAAGAGGAGGGGGAAGAAGAGGAGGAGGAGGAAGAAGAGGAGGAAGAAGAGGAGGCAAGGAGGAAAGGAGGCAAGGAGGCAAGGAGGAGGGGGAGGACGAGTACAAAAACGAAGACGAGGACGAGGACAAGGACGAGGTCGAGGACGAGGACGAGGACGAGGACAAGAAGGAGGAAGAGGAGGAGGAGCAGGGGGAGGAGGAAGAGGAGGAGGAGAAGGGGGAAGACGAGAACGAAAACGAAGACGACGACGACCACGACGACGATCACGACCACGACGACGAGGACGAGGACGAGGACGAGGACGACAACGAGACGACAACGAGGAGGAGGAGGAGGAGGAGGAGGAGGCGGAGGAGGAGGAGCAGGAGGAGGGGGGGAAGGGGATGAGGAGGAGGAGGAGGGGGTCGAGGAGGAGGAGGAGGAGGAGGAATAAGAGGAGGGACAGGAGGAGGGGAGCAGGAGGAGGAGGAAGAGAAGGAGGAGGAGGAGGACGAGGAGGAGGGGACGAAGACGAGGAGGAGAAGGGCGAGGAGGAGGAGGAGGAGGAGCAGGTAGGAGGAATATGATGAGGAAGCGGAGGAAGAGGGGGAAGAGGAGGCTTAGGCGAGGAGGCAGGATATTAGGTGTCAAGGATGCAAAGAGGCAATGAGGCAAGGAGAGGAGAAGGAGGACGAGGAGGAGGAGGAGGAGGAGGAGGAGGAGGAAGGGGAGGAGGAAGAGGAGTAGGAGGAGGAAGAGGAGGAGGAGGAGGAGGAGGAGGAGGAGGAGGAGGAGGAGGAGAAGGAGGAGGAGGAGGCAGAACATGAGGAAGAGATGGAGGTGGCAAGGAGGCAAGGAGGAGGGCGAGGAGAACGAGGAGGGGAAGAGGAGGACCAGTGTAAACCAAAGAGTTATCAACGATGTTGGAGTAATCCCTCCTTCCAAGCTCCCGAATGATAGTCCCCTACAACGGCTGCTTTCCACTGAGGAAACTGCCTCGTTGGAAGACAATCTTGTGAAGGCCTTGAAGAATGCCAAAACATTTCTCTTTAGATTTCAACACCACTGATCACATTGATTGTTGCGTCTTGATGATCTGGAGCCGTGCCAGAAACGCCATTCCTTGGACTGCAATGCCGCGAATCAACATAACTGTTGCGCCCTCATATCCCTGAATATTTCCCATGGGAATGCGCGCGTGAGAATCGATTGTCCGTGCCCATTTTTTCTCAAGAGATCTTCGCCCGAAGAAACATGCTCACTGAGACCCTCCCCTGCCTTGCTTCGGTCGGCAGCTTATGTCTTCTGTGCGGGCTGCTCCCGCCTGCGCAGCTCGCGCCAGTCTGCGGTTGCTCCTGTCACATGTACGCCGAGGTGATCACCGACTACGCGGGCTTGTTGGCCGTCGGGCCGCAAAGCGGCGTGCCCAGGCGGCTGCGCCCGAGGCGTCGGAGCCACTTCGACCCGGACGACCTGGCCGAGGTCAGCGACCTGCGGGCGGACGCCAGTCGGCAGCTGGTGGTGCTGCTCGAGAGCGACGAGTACCCAGCAGTGGCGCCCCCGCCTATCGCCGACGCGCCTCTCTTCGAGGCGACCGTGGCGGGGAGCGGCCAGCCGTCGGGCGAGACCGTTGGCGGACTGCCACCGTCGCGCGGTCTCCCGAAGGAGTTGGACGTGGCGCCACGTGGGACGACCGGGCACTTGCTCACCCACGGTCTCGGGCAGCGCAAGCACGAGGAGGTGACGGTGGGCATGAACGATCACCGAAGCACCGACGGACGTTGTGAGCTGCTGGTCCGCGACGGCGAGGCCTTTGCCGTGGCATCGATGCTTCCACCCAAAGGCGACATGGGCGATGAAGTGCGGTCCCTGCCGGTGCAGGATAAACCCCAGGGAGAGAGTTCCCGCTCTTTCCAGTGCGTGCGCGGTGCATTCACGGAGACGAGCTTCGACGACTTCCCGAGACTTGGGCCGCGGACGCGCGGCTGGCTGATGGAGGCTTTCCACAGGGTCGGTCAAGGCCCGGTGGCCCGACACCGCCGGCGGCGTCAGATGCTGGGCGCGACGACGGCGGACCCTGGGATCGACGAGCACCTCTTCCTGTCGAGCTCTATGAGCCAGGCGGGCAGTGCGGCCAGCTGAACCTGCCGAACAGCGCCCCTTTCGAGGCGGCGGCTCGCCGGCCCCAGTTGCGGGAGGAACGCCACGCCGAGAAGCTGAAGCGCGCGACAGAGGGCGCATCGCAGCCGGGGCGTCGGCCGCCCGGCACCGCCCTCGGAGTGGCCTACGGCAGCGCCGAACTGATTGCGCACAGCCTGGCAACGCGCGTCGCCGGCAAGATTGAGCAGGAGAGCAAGATCTGGAAGGGGCGCAGCGAGGGCGGCGAGGAGCGCAATCTTGCAGCGCTTGCGCATTCGGGCTGTGGAGGCGGCGGCGGTGGAGGGGGCTGCGCGGGGGGGGCTGTCGCCGCTGAGGATCAGGCCCCCGAGATGCCCAAGAAGCCGACGAGTGCCATGTCCAGCGGTAGCGAGGGCTGAGTCGACGAGAGCGTTTTCGCCCGGCCGCAGCTCGCGTGACGCCCATTGCGCACGAGGCAATTTTTAGGGGGGCCAGTTCACCGTGGCTTTACAGTCACACCGCGATATATGCCTTCCTTGCGCTGGCCCTCCGCCTGGACTGTGCTCCACGAGCTCGTCTGCGCGGTGGCTGCAGGAAGGGGTTCGAGCGCTTCGTTCGTTTGGAGGTCGAGGCGCTACCGCGCCGGCGCAGCCGACGATTGTTCCGCAGGCCCACGCCATGTCTTGTCCTGCTGGCATTTATGCCGCGACCCCCGAGCAGCCGAGTGACGCAGCTGTCCAGAGAGCCGTCAGGAGCACTATGGGAACCGACCCCGGTCACGGCGAGAACCTGACCAGCGGGGGCCGCGCACTTTATCAACGAGGCAAGGTTTCCTTGCCTCGCGCCGCTACCAGCGTGACTCGTCTTGAGGACGTGCATCCCCGCCTCCTCTGTTGGCGGGGGAACGCACTGGGCGTGTGGCCAGGCCCACTTCCGCCAACAATTGTGCCACTGGGAGACTCGCCTTTCCTCCCCGACTGGCGAGGTGGACCTGGAAGAGGGTATGCGAGCGTTTTGTTTCGAGATCTCCTGGCGCGTTAAATGCAAGAGGTCGGAGAGGCCGCGAAGCTGGCCACCTCCTTTTGTTGGGGAGAAAAGCGGTACCTTGCGTGTCATGTCTGATACGGGTGACGCAAATACTTCGTTTGCCAATTTTCTGTGTACCTCTCGCTGCGGCCTCAGGCGCTCAGCCCCATTGAGATCCCCGCGGGGGCCGGCTGACACTGCGCCCAGGGCGATGTCACCTGTTGTTCCCACCAGTTCTGCTACCAGACAGCTTAAGGTGTTGGTTCGGGCTTCGCCCCGCGCGGTGGCCCGGCCTTCCCATCCGGGCAAGGCGCGCCCATTGCCTGCCCGATCACTTTGGGCTGGTGAGGCCCAGGCTCCGCGCAGCACTTATGGGCTGGTCGCGGGCAGTGCATTTCGCCGAGCAATGAAGGACCTTCTGGCCCCCGCCGTGCTCAGTGACCCTTTTTTTTGGCCCAGCGCAGACCCCTGGGCCCCCTGGCCCAGCCAGGCGCCGCCAGTTCAATCTACGTTGGCAACTGTGCGTCTCTGTCTCTTTCGGTCGAGCGCTCGAAGAGTGGCCTCGCTTTCGCGCTGTGCGCAGCGAAGAAGTGCTGGTCTCGACGCTCACGCGGGGCCCGACGGCGCCCCCTTTTCTCGGGCATAGCTCGGGCGCTTCGGGGTCACCTGGGGCCCCTGCCGGGCGAGAGTTTTGGACCATCGCGTTGGTTTTGAGGGCGGTTGTCCAGGGTCGGGGTCGTCGGGCTGGGCGCCAAGTATTTCGCCTGGTTGGCCGCGCTTCAATGATGTTCCAGCTTCGCCCAGAGCTGCCCTCTATCTTTTCGGCATCCCATATGTTTAGCATTCGGTTTCGGGGCCGACAGGCTTGGGTCTGGGGCTCGGTTTTGCGCGAATGCTCGCTCACACGGGCGCCCCCCCCCCGCGGCCGCAGCTCGCTCGGGCCCCCCCTGGGGCCCCGAGGCGGCTTCGGCGGTCGCGTCGAACCCGCGGGTTCGTCGGCGCCGCCGCGCGCCAGTTCAAGTCGACCAGCGCTGGCAAGATCGGGCGCGCCAGCGAACGTCGCCGTTTCCGCGGCGAGCTTCGCGCGTGCATTGAGCCGCGGGGCGCCCTGGAGGACATGGAGGCACCCTCCTTCCAGGCCCAGGGTTCGGACTGCGAGTTCTCGGAGACCTGGCGCGCCGGCGGGGCTACCCGAGGCCCCCGAGCGGCGCGCTGAGGAGGCCCCCAGGCGCGCCATCGCTGCTAGGAGGCGGGGGGGGGACGGGGAGATCCTGAATGAACCCGGAGGCCGAGGCGGCCCCGTGGGCTGCGCGACGCATCGGTCGAGATAGGCGCTTCGGGGACCGTCGTCATCCTATCTTCTGCGGCCCCATGGCCCAGGTTCGTGCCGCCGCAAAAAGGCAGACGAAGTCCTTGATTATTGCTGCGTCGGTGCCGAGAGCAGCGCGCGCTGGCCATTGCCTCTGGGCGCCGTTTCGCGCGTCGCTGGGCCCCGCCAGGGTGGAATTGCGCCGGCGCCCCTAGCCGATGGCATGACCTCGCGAGCGAGCACCGCGCAAATCTA